TCTTTACATTAACAAATTGAAGGCACAAGAGAAGCAGTGGTTATAACAATCCCTGATCAAACAAATGAAGCAAGTAACACTTTATAAGCATATTTATTAACTATGAGAATGCAGACACTGACACAGCTTAGTTGTTCGTGCAAGTCCAGCCTATAAAGAACAAATGGAGGAAAGTACATATTGTTCCATTAGGAAAAACTGACAAAAAAATGTCGAAAGAAAGAATTGTTTCTCTTTCAGCAAATCATCTACAAATGCCATTGGTGTATTTTTAATCCATTCAATTTTGAATGATACTGGAAGTAATTTAAAGCAAATTAAAGCCATATGCTTTCAATCTAGAGGAAACTACTGACATGGGCTTCTTGAGATATGCTTGGAGGGAGAAATCAAGTCTTCATTGTTCAAACATTGGTCTCAGAAACAGAATTGCGATCACCTATAAAAGCTTTTGAGGAAGAAGTACACACACAAATATATGTACATGTACTTCCTATCAATTCTCCCTGTAGCCTTCACATGTAATTACCAGAAAAAGATGAACATATATAAATCATCTGAAAGCAGACTTTTACAGCACCTGTTTCTTCCACCAGGTAAATGCAAAAGCATTTCATGTGCAGAAGTAAAATTCCCTTTTTGGCTATGGTTATGACATGGTTCTTAAAAAACCCGCATACCTGATGCTTTACATTTGCTTTTGAAAAATAATGGCCATCAGTTTTACACTAGCATAAGGAAACCCAGCACCTACAACTATTAGTAGATACCTTGAACTATATAAGCAAAGTGGAAGGCCACGGGATCAATTTCACTTGCCTAAATGACGCAGCAATATTAGCAATTTTAGGTTTTACTGGCAAACAGAAATATTGTTGTCTTCACTGCCAAGGATTGACCAGGCAAGGAGTCAGAACAACCAAAGCAACAAAAGGAGCCATTAATTTAACTGTGGAAGCAGAGTATCTTACATTATTTTGGGAAGGTAAGACAAGACATATTTAATTTCCCCACTCTTGCAATTTTCACTATCAAAACAAGATAAAGGCTGTTAGAATCCCATTTATGCTTGGGAATAGACTGTAATGTTGTTGCTCTCCAACATGTAATCTTAGCTGCTCATTTTCTAGTCAACCTTACCTGTACATTCATCATCCTTTTACCTGAAGCACTACGTACCAAACCTCTGAGGGGATCTCATTTCACATATGCAATAGGTGGGTGATTCAAAGCTCTGGCCCTTGCCATTCTTGTGTTTTCCTTTTGCAATGCTGAAGCAACTAGGAGAAACAGATGGGCCCAGCACAAATAAACAGAACTAAAAGAGGGGACCCAGGAAGTCTCAATGAAACTCATAGGCACAAAGTAATACTCCCAGGGAAAGGAAACAAATACGCTCCAAGTTAAGCCAGGCAGTTGGCAGAAACCCCTTCCTTTCTCAGGCCACACCAATAAAAGAAACTCCTGCATATCTTCTGAATTTCCCTATCATCTTTTCTGCTCCCTCTCTCAAGAATTCTAATTGCAGGTATCGCTAGTGTGCCTACTACACTGATGAGCTTGTCTCTCTTCTGTCTCTTTTTGTCCAAGCTAAAATGTCTTCCCTTTTCTTACCACGGAGAATATTTTCACCTGCCATATTGAAATAACTTAAGGAAAAAAACCCCAAATGTCTCATTAGTTTAAGATTTTTCACAGTCTGTACAAGTGTCCCTCCACTATGACCTTTCAGCTAGATGACATAGGGTGTGGCCACAGGGAGGCTGCTGCAGGGGCTCCCCACAGCCCAGCATGCAGCACAGCATGCCTGCCTCCAGCTCATACCAAGTGCTGTCACACACTGTGCTCCACGTGCTGCAGAAGAAGACCTCATCCTGGCCAGCACAGTGATCCCAGCCCCCAGAGAGCCACCAATCTTGGTGCTTTGCAGACTGAGAGCAGAGCTGGGGATACGCTGCCTGAACCCTGACTAGTACCAGAGTGCAAACCCTGCTCGATGTCCAACGCTCGAACACTTCCATCCCTGGGAAGCGTTCAAAGCTAGGCTGGACAGGGCTTTGAGCAACCTGGTCTAGTGGAAGGTGTCCCTGCTTGTGTCAGAGAGGTTGGAAATACATGATCTTTAAGGTCTCTTCCAACCCAAAACATTCGATGATTCTATGATATCACTTCAGACTTCACACAATTTTGTTTTCATCAGAGCCTGGCATATGACAATCTAGATCACCAGTCAGCGTTTATACACCGTACCAGCAAACGGAAGAAACAATATAGCTAAGGATATATCCAACATCTTGAAGACCACAATGTGGAGCTTAAAGACTTTTTGTAGTATGATTTACATATGCAGAAATATTTATAGCATTCACAGTTATAATCTTCCTTTCCTAGCAAACTTAACTAATCAAGACATCTTAAGGCTTGTTTTTACTTGAAAGCTAACTCAAGACTATATGAATAGCTTTATGATTAACACAGAGACTAATTTTATGCCTGAACAGCTGCATGTGAAAACAAATGACCAAGTTGCTGTAATGCAGTAACTGTTTGGACTTGCCTGCATTACAAACTTTTGCCACTCTAGGGGCATTGGTAACAGCCTCAAAACTGAGGAACTAATACCTTAGGAGAATGAAGTGTGAACATGTGAATTTCAAAGTTGAAGAGATGCAACAGAGTCTGAAACAGATATATTACCCCCTTCAGTATGATAACAAAAAAAACACCCTCCTTCACCAACTTCATTAAGGCAATAGAACTTCTGTAACACAGACTATAGTCTGGTAAGTTCTGCCTTCTTAATGGCAATCACGGAAAAGTCAATGTAAAATATTAATTCCTTTTTTTTTTCTTTTAAAAGAGTCACACCCAAAGCTACTGCCAGCAGCAAGTGTGCTGTCAGTACTTTCACCTTAAAATAGTCAGCCTTCTGGAAAGTCACCTTTATATTCAACTTTGTTCCCTCCATATATGCATTCATATGGCTTTTTTCTTTATACTGGATATATGTAAGCGTAAGAAATAAAAAACTGGTCCCAGAATATTGTGGCGCAACCAGAAAAGAGCCAACAGAAGAGCTGAAGTTTTCACAGATGAGACAAAAGAACCAACCAACCAACCAAACAAAAAAAACAAACGTGAAGAGAAGAGGCAGTAAAGCATAGACGTTGTCAAAAAGGAAATAAATTATTTGAAGATGACAGAATACAGATCAAAAAATAATGAGACAAAGGGGAAGCATATAAATAAATACATGCTGGGTTCACATCATTGCAAGTTATTGATTCAAGAGGCAATTTTGCACGATGTGGCTACAAAAGGTAATTATACAAGTTGCTTCACCACCTTACCAAAGAAAATCATTTCATTAAACATGTAACATGTTGCTTAATCACTGAAGACTTACATATGCGCAAGTCCAAAGCTTCTGTTGTTGTAGATTGCTTCCAAAGAAAAAAGCAAATGTTTGGACATTTACCTTGCTCTGAGTATGTAGAGTAGCAAGTCCTCAGAGGAAGCAGTACTGCCAGAACCATGAAGTGATTCATCATTCATCCACCTTTTCCTGCACAAGACTTATCAGGAAAGACAACATTTCTTTTTATTTGCTTCTTTTAGGAGAGATAATATTACTGTATTTAAGAATGAGTAAAAACCCAACCATACAAACTCCAGGCAGTTTAAGAGAAATTCAGGAAGAATAGCTTTTAGGACCTGGTTACAGCATAGGAAAAAATACACTGCACTCAAAAAGTTCAATTTAATCTAAACAAATAAAACACAGTACCTTTAAATTTTCTAAAGAATATTAAACCAAATTTTTCTCCTGATGTATTTTTGCTTTACTCCTGTGCAAGCAACAAGATAACTAAAGGAGGAAGGGGAGGCGGGGAAGTATCAAAGATGCAAAAGGCCTTTTTCTGCTCCACCTAGAATTTGGCTTATGAATCCAGCAGACTCAGGCAAGCATGGTCTTGCCCTTTGCCAGCACACTACATGGAGGGCTTTAGTTAATATTGCAGTTGAAATACACCCACCAAAGTCTTAGCAAATTCCATTCCTAGGACTGTCACCTCAAGCACCACACAGCTCTATCTAGCATTCTTTTTTACAGCTTTTACACCTACCTTGTGAGGAAATTCTGTTTGACTGGCACGGCTGAGTCCTGAAGGACCGGTTGTATATCAGATCTCATAATACGTGAATAACCTGCAAATTCCATGCAGAAGGGAGAGGAAAACATTCAGCACCAGAATGGTTAAAAGCACTCAGGCACACAGGGTACAGGAGTCCAGAAAACAGGAACAGGACTATGGCTACAGCTATCTTTAATTTCCACATTTTACATTTCTGGAGCTGTGCAGAATACTGGTAAGAGTCTTCTACCACTGCTTCTATAACAGAATTTGAAACTGCTTAGCAAGACAGATAACCAGGATGACTTTCTGTCCCCACAAAGCCAAGGACAGAGCATTTACTGATTTCAGAAGGGCCAGTAATTCACACTAGCATTTCCTCCTAGCAGAAAACCTCCAAGGTAACACCTCAGAGCTATAGTCACTTCAGTTTAATGATCCTTAGGTTTTGAGAAGCTCTGAATTTCTCCAAAGCATAAAAAGAAAATATTTCAGAATATTTTGTAGGTTTCTAAAGGTCACATGGAAATTGTAAAAGTCCTGCATGCATCACTGCAACCCAGGGCTCCAACAATGCTCACAACAAATACCCTTATTGCAGCGTGCCCAAACTTTTTCCTTGTAAGCACAAATGTTTCACATGGAGCCCCCCGTATTCAATAGGTGAGCATTGCATTGCCTAATGCATAGGCTTTGCAGTCTTTCTTGTCATTACACCAATATCCTCTAAAGTATTTAGACAACACTAAAATCAACATGAATAAAGAATCTAAATATGCAATCACATGCAACTAGGGGACTCTTCTACTTACTTAGGGAAGCCTGCTTGTTTATAGATTTTCTGAGTTTACACTTATCACCTCATCAAATTTAACATCTAAAAGTGAAAATAATTTGATATATTTTGCTTGGAGTAAACATAATAGAATGGCTCTTTGTTACAGAGCAGTGAGTGGCAACTACGCAAAACAAAAAAGTCTTTCCAAGGCAGATTATGTTAAAACTTCCGGTAACTCTCCAATAGATTCTTATTCCTTTGAATTATACAAAGTAAATACTGACACACCAAGTCAGATCTTGCATGCCCGTTTTCAGAAGAAAAATTGAAAAGAAAACTGCCTTTAAAGTCAAGGGAGTTGACTTTCTGCTCTAAGATCAACTTAATACAAGGGTGGTCAGTTTGGTTCAATGGCATAACTCCTGACTTAATTATATCAGCACGACAAAAACCTGGCCCCACAGGAGTCCTGATTTTGTAAACATCTTTAGGGTTGAACACATAAAATTTGCCCTATTTGTCATGTATCGCTTTAATCTAATACAGTGGCAAATTATTATGGAAGTCGTGACATATTAGTCTATTTATTTAAAATACTTCCTATTTTGAAAACAAATCTAAACCCTTTTCTGCTCTTAAGAAGCATTCTCAACTATTGTATCTAAATAAACGTATCATTTAACTATCTCTCTCTCCAGTCCTTTAAGCTGTCAGGTCACTAAGGACACAACCTGTATCACTTCTATTGATGCATAATACAAACACTGTATGCTACTAGAGGGCAGTGTAATATAATCAATAAACATTTGAATATAAACATATTTTGGACACCTACAATGCTCTTCTCTCTTCAGCTACAATGCTGTTCTCTCTTCAATCTCTTTCAGATTAAATAATCCAATTTAATATTGTACAATTAATTATGATAAGATGTGCAACTGTAGGTATCAAACCATTTTTTCATGAGAAAAATTCTGGAATTCTCTAATAAAATACAATACAAAGTAAATTTAAATAAATAAAATTCTATTCAAGAAAAAAGAAGTACAGTCCTTCATATACAAGCAATATTCTGACTTACATCATTCTTATGCAGAAACTATGACTAACAAATTAATCACATGCAATAATTACTACCAACTAATGTCAAGCACTTCTTTATTATCAATAATTAAGTATCTTTTTAAAATCATCTTTTAAAAATCAGTCTTGGTTACAAAGATTAAAAGAGAATCAAAATGATTGTACAAAATACATTACCAATTTAATTAAAAAAAGAACACAAAACACATGATGCTAATAGATTAATGACATATTTGCCAAAAGTGAAAGTAATTGAACAGCAAAAGAAATGAAGACAGGAAACCAGGGAAGGCTTTTAGGTATCTAATGCACCACCCTGAAAAAGGCAAAGGACTATCTCTGAGAAATAGTGAGCAGCTATCAAATACCACAAGAAAAGTGACAGTCACAACCACTGTTCTGATGAATAGCTTGGTCCAGATTTGCCAATCTGAAAAGATCTGAATGCAGTACTAGCATGCCACACAGTTCTTCATCTGAGAATTAATTACCACTGAGGTTTTTTTAAGCCTAGGAAAGACATGTTTTGTCATCATGCTCCAACCTGTGTGCTTTGCTTCCATGAACTGCTGGTAAGAACAAGAAGCTTTTGTGCCAGTGATTCTGAATATGGATGGCAGACATGCAATTTGAATAGTTCTAGTTTATTACTTATCATTAAGATAATTTTGCAATGGCATTTTTTTATCATAGAATCACAGAGCAGTTTGTCCAACTGAGTTTGGAAGAACTCCAAGGATGGAGATCCCACAACTTTCCTGAGCAATTTGTTCCAGGGCTTAACCACCCTCACCATGCACGTTTTTTCTCCTTATATTCATATATTCATTTTTCTCCTTGTATTTTCCTTGCACCTGTTTGTGCCTGTTCCCTCCTGTCCTTTTGCTGTATATGTCTGTGAAAAGTTTACCTCTGTCTTCTCAGTAACATTCAATTGATTAGGCAAGAACTGCAGTTAGAGCTGCCCTTACCTTTCTCTTCTCAAGACCAAGCAATCTCAGTTCCATCAGTGATTCCTAGATGTGCTTCAGCCTCCAAAGCCTTCTGGTGTCTCTCTGCGGCACGCAGTCCAGTCTGACAGTCTTTGTACTGTGAGCCCCAAACTGAACACAGTATTTTAGATATGGCCTCATAAGTATTACATAGGAGGATATAATCACTCTTCTAAGCTCAAATTCTTTGATATTATTAACAACAGTAGCTACAGGTCTATTCTCTGTGATGAATCTGGTTATTGGTTATTGTAATCACAGCGTGATTATTTCACACTGTGAAATTATCTATAATATGGGGGATTACACTAAGCCATAATTTGAGGATGATTGGCGCAAAATGATCTGTCAGTGCTACAGAAGTTAGCTGACCAAGAAATTTTTCATTTTACCCTATATTCTTCCTCCTAAAAATTCAATATCTGTGAGGGAAATGAAGCAGACTTTAGTCTTGTCAGACTGTAGCCTGAATCACTGATAATTTTTTTTAAATTCATTAATATATACTTTACTTGTCATTCTTCCCATTGGAAAAATGTAACTTGGGGGGTGACAAAACAGATACAGATGGATTCAGGACTCCCTAGCCTGATTTTAAATTAATTAGTACTGATAGATACATCAACAGAACAGAACCATTCTGGAGACGTGGCAGCAGTTGCAATAGTACTCAGCAGCAAAAAAATTGTTCGGAGACCTGCAATTGAAGAGCGATCACTCCAGAAGTGGAGACAGGAGCAAATTACCTTGGGAAGAGATGAAATCTTCTTCAGTAGGTAGTTTACAGATAGTCTAAATAAGTAAGTACCTCTGGGTAAACTATTTGTCCTTCAGTCAGGAGGCTGCCTTAGATGATCGCTGAAGTTCCATCCATGACAACGCTTTCCTGATGCCATCAATGAGATGAAAAAGAAATTCCCATTATTCATCTGGTCAACATGGACAAGATAAACATTTTGCCAAACCTCTCTTGAAAGGCATTAAAGCACCAAAACTTAACTGAAAGCTCTTTCAAGATCAGGCTCATAGCACTCAGTAGTCACTAGCTGGGAGCTGTAGCTATACGGTGTACATACTGCTGCGGTATGTGGAATACCCATGTACAAGAAAAGGAAGCCCCTGGTATGAACATTGAATCATAGCTGACCACAGAGTCAATCTGGATTGTATCCATCTTCTCAAGCCACATATTTCAAATCATACTTCATACAACTTTCCTTTCTCAGTGCCATTCACTTTGCTTATTTTAAACAGCTGCTAGTCACAACCCACACCCTCAAATGAATCAGAGCCTGTATGCAGGCTTGGAAAAGAAGTGTTTTCAGCTGCTAGGATCCAGAAAATTTTACGCATTTACAGGACAGTATTAGGGATACCACATAATAAACATTATTAATCAAACAAATTTGCCTAAAACAGACATGAAAAAGGACTGTCAGATAAGCAAATGTAATAATAATGCTACTTTGGATTTATATCACATTTTCATCCCATGTTCTAATTTCTTCTACTTCATAGACAGACAGACAGAGGATAGGATTCACAATTCAAAGTATATACCATGCAGTACAAGGTT